CAGAGACTCTTCTTCTCCGCCAAAATACAAAAGATAAGGTCTTCATTCATTGGTCAATGGCTAAGCAAGCCGTGTTGGTCGGAATCAACTATCCAGGAACCGCCGAGGAGTTACGCGGCTGTGTCAACGACGTCCTTCGGATGCGTAAATGCCTAATCGACCGTTTCGGATTCTCAAGCCAAGGCATCAAACTACTGATCGACACTGACAAATCCTACGTCCAACCGACCGGAAAAAACATCCGCGAGGCTCTGAAAACACTCATCAGTGAAGGAAAATCCGGTGATGTTCTGGTATTCTATTACTGTGGACACGGCACGAGAATCCCATCCGCAGATGACACAAAAGACGCGACAAAGTTTGACGAGTGCATCACTCCTTGTGATATGAATCTGATAACAGGTATGTGATCAAGAGTAATCCTTTCCCTTTTTAATGGTTTTGATATTATTTTTGTATTGTTTCTTGTTTCTTTGCATCTGAAAATGTTTATGGCTTAAACATATCCCTTTGGTCCCGACCATTAAAAACATATACGTATCTTTTCGCAACTTGGATATACCTCTAATTTCTATACTTGTGGGTGTTAATTTAGGTTTTAAATTTATATTTTGACATGAACGTCTTAGTGTTTTGGATTATTTCCCTCTTGTTCTAATCACCTTTTTGCAAAAAATGTGTGTTGTAGATAATGATTTTAGAGACATGTTGTCAGAGGTCAAAACAGGATGCCGATTGACGATAATATCGGACTCTTGTCATAGTGGTGGACTCATCGAGGCAGTAAAGGAACAGATCGGGGATAGCCACGTGAATCCGCCGAAATCAGGGATTGCTAATTTCTTTAGTAGCATTGTGATGCGTTTGCTTGGGGCTTGTGGAATGTCGAGTTCTCGTATAGAACGTGGAAGCGGCCAAGAAAGCTTTACTAAAAAGATCGAATTAGAGGACGGTGAGATAATCGAAGCGAAAAAAAGATATCTACCTCTCGATAGCTACGTGACTCTTCTCGCGGAGCAAACCGGACAAACCAATATCAAATATCGGGATATCAGACCGACACTTGTGAAGTTCTTTGGCGAAGACTCAAGCCCGAGTATGACTCTTGCCAATTCAACGAAAAGAAATGGTCACAGAGGATTGGTTAGTATGCTCAGAAGCATAGGCGAAGTTAATTCAGATGGAGCAGGCACTGGAGCCCAAAGTTTGTATATGGACAAGGCGGTTATGTTAAGTGGATGTCAAACAGATGAAAAATCGGAGGATGTTTATGTGACAAGAACTAGAAAAGCTTATGGAGCATTCAGTGACACGATTCAGAAGATATTGTCGGAGAGGAGAAAGGACAAGAAGATATCGAACAAAAAGATAGTTTTGAAAGCTAGAGATATTCTCAAGAGACAAGGATATAGTCAAGAACCAGGTTTGTATTGTCATGACCGTTATGTTAATGAACCATTTATATGCTAAAATGTACATAAAATTCATTTCTGTTTCATATACAATTTTTTTTTTTTGTGTGGTGTGATTTGAAATCTTAATGGAAATGTTCTCTTTTTGGTGGGTTTAGACCAAGTCTCTCAGTGACTTGTGATTCAAGTAATATACTTTTTTCTGTCTTTTAGAAACCAAAAAAGGAACTTAGTCACGATGATGATTTAATTGGTAGCACATATGGGAAAATATAAAATTGTAACGTGCTAACATCTAAATTACAACGATTATGCAAAAACCAAACTAAATATGATGGAATCCTTCAACAAAGAGCTAAACTAAGTTGGTGTCGGATCTCGCACATAAACTCGATCCAGTTCAATAAATCCTCAGCTTGCAATTCGGAAACGACAAAGTTCTTAGAATGCATTATACTAGTATAAGATATTGGGAAAGTAGACTATATATATATATATAAAGATGAAGAAGAGATCCACAATTCTACCACTAATAAGGGATGAGGAATATGGCATTTATGTTTTGCGATTACGGGCCAGACTTGTAGTTGTAGGCATGGAGGAATATGTGTTTAGATCGGTATTTGGTTTAATGGGCCTTGATAAAACTCGACCCACTATATAGTATACAACTTGAATGACGGATAGAGAAATGGTTCGTATAATCATGTTTGGTGTGTATATATAGTTGTTCCCGTGACTCGTGACTTGTGTCTCGTGAGATATATATTGTTGTGAATTCTTATTAGTCCTTCACGTGATGCTCACGTAGAATTGGGATGTCTATGGGTTGGTACCCACGTTTAATTTTATGTATCAAAAACGATCATTGAGATGGAAAGTGTTGCATCCCATTACGTCGGTGGAGTCTGACAAATATCTTCTCTTGATTTAATTCATTTTACAACGCATAACTGTTCTTTTAACATTTTGTGTTCGTTCGGTTTTACTCTATTAACTTCACCTTTCGATTAATTCCAATGAAATCTTCTAACAATCCTATATTTTTCAAATTTTGTAGACATATAGCCAACATAATTAGTTTTCAATGATAAGATATCTCACCCAAAATCAAACTGTTCAACAGCGAACTTTTTTTTTTTTTGGTAAATATCTAATGAATGTTTTTATTGTATTACTTTTTTAAACATCCATTTTTTTTTTAATATTTGCTATTTTATTAAAGAGTAGTATGGAAAAACTTGAAATTCTCTTTTTTGTCCACCAGATTTAATAAAGTAAATAATGTCGACATTGTTAATTTTTTTAAAAATTATCGTAATTAATAATTGAGTAACGTTATGCATCATGAGATATTGATTCAGCCGGTTGGATACATCGAAGTTCACCAAAATTTAACTACTTTCCGTGTATATATTTTCAATCATGTTTTCAGAATAGATATTTTCGATCAAAATAAATAAATAAATGACTTTGGGTAGGTGGTCACGTTTATCCGGGATATGGTTTCAGAGTACCTCCAATGAGAAATTCTACAAGAGTTTTTTAAATAATATAAAATATTAATATAATATTGTGGATTTTTTAAATAGTACTAGAAACCATCGTTAAAGTATCTTTATGAAAAAAATTTTGATAAAATTTCTAGCACTATTTCAAGAATCCACAATTTTATATTAATATTTTATATTATTTAAAATTTGTTTGGGAGAATTTTTTATTGGAGATGTTCTTAAAGCAGCACAATATCTTAGATATTTTTTATT